CTCTTCTCAAAGTTTAATGAGCATGAAAATCACCTGGGAGTCTTGTTAAAATGCACATTTTGATCCAGTACTCTAAGACTCAAAATTCCTAGTTTTTAACACTCTCCCAGGGGAAATGATACTACTGGCCTTCAAAACACACTAAGCAGTGAAGCTCTTAGGAGACTATTACTGAAGTTTTTCAATTTACTTGAGATTGGTTACATTCAATACTTCCTCAAATAAGACAACTAGTAACCAGAATTTGCAAGCTATTCTTTTATAAAAATTCACTAAAACAATGGTTCCTCCCACCCCACTTTGATTGCAGATACATTCTCTTTGCTAGCTATCTTCCGACTTTCTCACTTCCTTTTCAGAAACTTTGCAGTAGTTCCCCAATGTCCTGCTTTTGTATTGTTCTTAAAATATTCACTAGTTAGAGTGCCCTCAGACAACTAGATTTATTAACATGTTACATCCTCAGTCGTGCCTCATGTAGCCTGCCAGGCTCCTCTGTCCATGGAATTCTTCAGAAAAGAATACTGAACCAAGTTGCAATTTCCTACTCCCGGAGATCTTCCTGACCCAGGGATCAAACCTGCATCTTCTGCATTGGCAGGAGCATTCTTTACCACTGTGCCACCTGGTAACACTAAATATCAAACACCACTCTTTCTATATACCCCACAGGTTGCTGTGTTCTATATAAAATGTTATAGGAGAGAAGATCCTATTTTTAGAGAAAAGGATTTATTTTTACAGCAGTTCAAAATATCATCTTCTGTTTGACCTGAGTATATTGAAATTGCTACTGAAAAAAAGTCAAAGGTGTAAATATGCATTAGTCATCAGGGAAATGCAACTCAAAACCACAAGATACCACTTTATACTCACTAGGATGGCTAGAGTCAAAAAGTCAGATAACAAGCATTAGTGAGAACGTGAAGCAATCTAAACCCTCATACACTACTGACAGGAATGAAAAAACAGTACAGCCATCTTGGAAAATAGTCTGATAGTGCCTTAAATTATTACTGTAAGACCCGGGAATTCTACTCCTAGGTGTATACCAAGAGAAATGAAAATATATATTCACAAAAAAACCTGAATATTTATAGCAAAATTCTTCATAATAACCAAAAGTTAGAAAAAACTCAAATGTCACTCAGCTGATGAATGGATAAGCAAATTGTGGTATATCCATTCAAAGAACTAATATACATCAATAAAAAGGAAAGAAGAACTGTTACTAGCCATGATGTGGATGAATCTTAAAACACTGTGTGGCAGAAGAAATCAGCTATAAAATATCACCTATTATCAAATTCTTTTCATATAAAAGTCCAGAATAGGGACATCTACAGTGACAGAAAGTACATAAATAGTGCCTTACTACTGAGGATGGGAAGAAATGGAGCAGTATGGGAGTGAGAACTAAAGGGAACAGGCTTTCTTTCTCAGGTGATGAAAATTTTCTAAAAAACTGACTGTGTTAACAGTTTCAAACTGTGGTGCTAGAGAAAACTCTTGAAAGTTCCTTGGACAGCAAGATCAAACCAGTCAATCCTAGAGGAAATCAACCCTGAATATTCATTGGAAGGATTGATGCTGAAGCTCCAATATTTTGACCACCTGATGCAAAGAGCTGACTCACTGAAAAAGACTGTGATGCTGGAAACGATTGAAGGCAGGAGGAGAAGGGGGTGACAGAGGATGAGAAGGTTGGATGGCATCATCGACTCAATGGACATGTGTTTCAGCAAACTCCGGGAGACAGTGAAGGACAGGGAAGCCTGATGTGCTGCAGTCCATGGGGTCACAAAGAGTTGGACATGACTGAGCGACTGAACAATAATAATGGCTACACATATCCATAAATATACTAAAAATCACTGAATTGTACACTTTAAACAGGTAAAGTGTATAGGGCATCTTCAACTCTCCCCTGTCAATCACTCTCTCATATCCAGCTAATCACTAGATCCCAATGATTCTTTTTTCTTTTTCTTAGTTTTACTGAAGCATAGTTCATTTACAGTGTTGTGCTAATTTTTTCTGTACAGTGAAGTGACTCAGTTTATACACACACATATATATTCTTTTTCATATTCTTTTCCATTATGGTTTCTCACAGGATATTGAATACGGTTCCCTGCGCTATACTATAGGACCTTGTCATTTATCCATTCTATGTATAATATTCTATCTCTGTTAATCCCAAACTTCCAATCCTTCCCTCCGCTATGCCACTCTTTGGCAACAAGTCTGTTCTCTACATCTGTGAGTCTGTTTTCATCTCATAGATATGTTGATTTGTGTTGTATTTTAGATTCCATACATAAGTGGTATTATATGGTATTTCTTTATCTGTCTGACTTACTTCACTCAGCATGACACTCTCTAGGTCCATCCATGTTGCTGCAAGTGGCATTATTTCATTCTTTTTTCTGGCTTACTATTCCATTGTGTGTATGTACCACATCTTCTTTATCCATTCATTTGTAGATGCACATGCAGGTTGTTTCCATGTGTTGGGCTATTGTATTGTAAACAGTGCTTTTATAAACATTGGGGTGCATGTATCTTTTCGAATTACATTCTGTCCAGATAAGTGCCCAAGAGTGGGATTGCCGAATCATATGGCAACTCTAATTTTAGTTTTTTGAGCAACTGCCATACTGTTTTCCATAGTGGCTATACCAATTTACATTCCCACCAACAGTGTAGGAGGGTTTCCCTTTTCTCCACACCCTCTCCAGCAATTCTTATTTGTAGACTTTTTAATGATGGTCATTCTGATTGGTGTGAGGTGGTACCGCACCGTAGCTTTGATTTGCATTTCTCTAATTGAATTAGTGATGCTCATCATCTTTTCATGTGCCTAGTTGCCATCTGTATGTCTTCTTTGAAGAAATATCTATTTAGGTCTTCTGCCCATCTTTGGATTGCACTGTTTTGTTGTTGTTCAGCTGTATGAACTGTTTGGATATTCTGAAAATTAAGTCCTCATCAGTTTTTTTCTCTTTAATTTTACGTTTTTATTGAAGTATAGTAGATTTACAATGTTGTGCAAATCTCCGCTGCACAGCAAAGTGACCCAGGTATGCCAACACAGACATTTCTTTTTTCTATTCTCTTCCATTCAGGTTTATCACAGAATATTGAAACTAGTTCCCTGACCTATACAGTAGGACCTTGTTGTTTATCTTTTGATTTTATTTATGGTTTCCTTTGCTATGCAAAAGCTTGTAAGTTTGACTAGTTCCCATTTGTTTATTTTTGGTTTTATTTCTATTGCCTTGGAAGACTGATCTAAGAAAACTTATGTCAGAGAATGTTTTGCCTATGTTCTCTTCTAGGAGTTTAATGGTGTCTTATCTTATATTTAGGCCTTTAATCCATTTTGAATTTACTTTTGTATATGGTGTGAGGGTATGTTCTAACTTCCCTGATACACATGCAACTGTCCGACTTTCCCAGCACTACCAGCTAAAGAAACTGTCTTTTCCTCATTGTATATTTTACCAAACATATGAAGAACTTACACCCATCCTTCTCTAACTCTTTCAAAAGACTGAAAAGAAAGAAATATTCCCCAAAACATTCTATGAAGCCACTATCACCCTGATACCAAAACAAGACAAAGACACTACCAAAAAAGAAAACTTCAGGCCAATATCTTAGATGAATACAGACACAAAAATTCTCAACAAAATATTAGCAAACAAAATCCAATAACATGTAAAAAAGATCATACACCACAACCAAGCTGGATTCATCCCAGGTGCACAAGGATGGTTCAATACACACCAGTCAATATGTATACCACATTAACAAAAGAAAGGACGAAAACCATGTGATCCTCTCAATAGATGCAGAAAAAGCATCTGATAAAATTCAACACCCATTCATGATTAAAAAAAAAAAAACCCTTATGAAAGGAGGTATAGAGGGAACATATTTCAATATAATGAAAGCTATTTATAACAAACCCACAGCCAATATAATACTCCACAGTGAAAAGCTGAAAGCCTTCCTGCTAAAATCTAGAACAAGACAAAGATGCTCACTCTCACCACTTCTCTTGAACATAGTACTGAAAGTCCAGTGATTCTTCCATCATAATCTCTAATTCTTCTATGTTCTATGCTGCCATCTTTAGTCTGGGCTCTGTTACTTTATGTACCATCCCTGTTCTTCTTACTATTTGCCACTTCCAAATTAACAAAGCCAGTTTTTAAACCCAATTGAAACTTTCTCAATATCATCCTTAGAGGGCTAATGTCCACCAAATCAAGTTTGAATTTTCCCTAACAGGATTCTGGGTTTCCAGTGTGCTTCAACCTCTGTCCCCCACCCAGCCTCATTTCCTAAAATATTCAAAAGGAAAACACTTTATTCAAGGCAGAGTTGTCTCTTCACTGTTCCTTATAATTCTACATGCATTCATTTCTCTGCCTTTTATCAAGCTATTCTACTCTCCTGAACGCCTACTCTCCACATTTATCTATATCCCACAAATCATTCAAGACCTATTTAAAAGCCCCACATCACCCAGGAAGGATTTGTGGAGAACTCCAACTACAAATGATTTCTTGCATTTCCTAGCCACTTCTAGGACTTAACTGTCTGTGCCACTTATCTTAGCATTTGATTTACATGCCACTCATCTTGGTATTTGATTTATATGCCATGTATTTTGGTATTTGATTTGTCACATATTTTAGCTTTTGATTTACCTACCATCTTATTGTATGCCGTTCTATTATTCCATACAGAAACATCTTGCTTCAATAAGATCGTCTGTCCGCTCTTTAAGACTAAGGTCCTTTTTGGTATCACGGAGACCACACAGCACAGTGTTAGACCCAAAATACCCCTCAAATTTATAGAATTAATTATCTGTTTGAGATTAATTTAACTGCATAAAAACTCATCATAGAATTTCCTATCATTTTTCTTGCTTTCTCCTATAAATGCAATTAATCAATCCAAAGTCTAAAAGGTGAGTACAGTACCTTATCATACTGACAGACAATTACATTATCCATGTCAAACAGGTCTGGCACATCCTGCTCACTAACATCATCTCCAGAATTTAAAGGGTCCTAAAGATGAAAGATAGTCACATTAATGAATTTTATGATACTTTGAATTTTTTAAAGATAGAGGGACATATTCTGTCTCTCCAAGTACAAAGAACAGTATTGTACTTAAAAGTCAAACAGCCTGAGTTTGACTCCCAGTTTGGCCACTCAACAACCATAAGACTGACCTTTTTGACAAGTTATTAAAACTCCTCATATCTCAGTTTTCTCATTTGCAAAATGAGAACAGTAGTTAAGAGCCATAGGGCAGTGGAATGTTAAGTAACAAACGGCAATAAGATTTAGTGTGGTACCTGGCACGCGTGTAAGGACACCGTAAATGACAGCTAATAACACTATGCTTCTTAACTATCACATTCCACAAAAATTTCATGGCGTATATTAGGATTAGAGCAGATGCGTTATGCTTCTACCCTGGCTGCCTTCTTTACCTTCACTCCCATCCCTTCGAACTCCCATTATCTCCAGTTAAGACTAACAAATATAGTAACTGATTCCTAAATACTTAATACTGATTTACATTGCAGCTTAAGGTCAAAAGTTTAAACACAAGTATAAATACAAGTCTCACTTTAAAGACTAAAGACAGCATTGATCTGAATTGTTTTTCCTCTTGGTTCCAAAGTATATTAAAGCACAAATGCTATAAATTTTAAAAACTTTCAACTCAAAAGTAATCCTTACTTCTTCCACAAGGTCTATCTCAGGGTCTTCATTATCACTACTGTTCACACTTGAATCTTCATTTGATACACTGCCAGTTTCTTCTTCAGGTACCTTCAGGTCTCCTGCATCAATAATCCCTATCAATCCATTCTCATCTACATCTCTTGTATTTCCTATTTCATCATTGGAAGATGTATCTCCAGTTCCACCTATTTGAATTATCTCATTAATGTCATCATCAGCTACCTGAATGCTTAAATCGATCTGAGAACTGGAATCCTAAAAATAGAAAGAAATTCAATAAAGTTTTTCAAGTCAAAGAAAGTATACAAACACTGAATCAGCAAAATATAAAATTACATAAACATTTCATAAGTGGCTTCTTAAAATATATTTCTCCCTGGTCAGGTGATGTTCCCTAATTTTGAATTTTAGTACACTGCTAGCATTTCTATGTAATATGGGGATAAATTTATATTTAAATTGTAAATAAACTCACAGTCATACATAGACAGAAATTGGTTGTCTGCTTTCAGGTAATATTTATCAGTTTTTATATATTTCTAATTAAAAAAAGATATGCAACAAAGGTTTACTGTATAGCACAGGGAACTATAGTCAATATCTTATAAGAACCTATAATGGAAAATAATTTCAAAATTAACATGTGTATATGTATAACATGTGTCACATACACAAAAAAGAATTCTACTTTTTGCCAGTTTTTCTAAATGTCCTATGGACATCTAATAACAACCTATGAGATACAAAATTTTAAATATATTTGTGTACGATATGATTAATATAAATTAAATAAATCTATTACATTTAAATTATAAATGACATCATTTCAAGATGCTCCTATTCTTATTTTTTTATGCATTTGATAAAACATTCTCAGAGAAATGTTCATATGTCTCACTATGATTATATATTTTTTTCTTTTCCCTTCTATTTCTTCTGATATTTGTTTTATGTATCTTTGTTGTTAAGGTGTCTAATGGTTTATGATATCTATCTTCTCGGTGAACTGTATCTTTTATTATTAAAAATATTCACCTTTGTTTCATTTAAAATAAATAATTTTTTAAAAAAGAAAGCCCAGAAAAAAAAAAGTATCAGCTTTTATACAAACTAATTTAAAATTAAATAATACCTCTAAAGTTTGAACTTTTATTTTAAACAATAATTCAATGAAATAGAAAGGACAACTGACATCACATTTAATGGATAAATAAAAAATATAAAGGACTGTACTAACTAGAATAAGCCAAACACTAAAAGAAAATCTAAATCGAAACTGACAGAAATGAAAAGATTAACAGATAAATCCACAATTATAGAGAATTCAACATTCCTCTCCATAGTAATCAATTTAAAAAGTAGACTGAAATTCAGTAAGAATGTAGAAAACCTGAGCAACACAATGAACCAACATAACCTAACTGGCATTTACAGAAAACTCTACTTCCAAAGAGCTGAATGCACATTCTTTTCAAAAGCACACAGAATATTCACAGGAAGTATCATATTCTGGGCCATAAAACAAACCTTGACAAATGTAACACACACAAAGTATATGTTCACTTAGCAAAAGGAATTATACCAGAAATCAGTAATAGAAAGATCTGGAAAGTCATCAAATATTTACAAATTAAACAACACACTTCTAAATACCCATGGGTCAAAGAATAAGTCACAAGGAAAATTAAAACATAATTTTAACTGAATGCAAAAAAAACCATGACATTTTAAAACTTGAGATGAATCTAAAGCAGTGCCTAGAGGGTATTTTATAGCATTAAATGATTATATAAGAAAACAAACAAGTCTCAAATCAGTGACCTAAAATTCCACTGTAAGAAACTAAAATGAGAAGACCAAATCAACTCACAGAAAATGAGGAAATAATAAAAAGGAGCAGAGTTTTTACATGAAATTAAAGTTGATATCAGTTCAAAATAGACTGTTAACAACTTTAACCACAAAGAAAATATAGAATACACACAAAAGAAATGAGAAAGGAATCAAAATGTGTCATTACAAAAAATCAACTACACACAAAAGAATATAATAAGGAAAGAAATGAAGGTCAAAAAAGCTAAAAGACACACAGAAAATATCAAAATAGCATGAATAACTCCTCCTCTATCAGTAATTAAATGTAGATAGATTAAACTCCCTATATACCCATGGGTCAAAGAATAAGTCACAAGGAAAATTAAAACATAATTTTAACTGAATGCAAAAAAAACCATGACATTTTAAAACTTGAGATGAATCTAAAGCAGTGCCTAGAGGGTATTTTATAGCATTAAATGATTATATAAGAAAACAAACAAGTCTCAAATCAGTGACCTAAAATTCCACTGTAAGAAACTAAAATGAGAAGACCAAATCAACTCACAGAAAATGAGGAAATAATAAAAAGGAGCAGAGTTTTTACATGAAATTAAAGTTGATATCAGTTCAAAATAGACTGTTAACAACTTTAACCACAAAGAAAATATAGAATACACACAAAAGAAATGAGAAAGGAATCAAAATGTGTCATTACAAAAAATCAACTACACACAAAAGAATATAATAAGGAAAGAAATGAAGGTCAAAAAAGCTAAAAGACACACAGAAAATATCAAAATAGCATGAATAACTCCTCCTCTATCAGTAATTACATGTAGATAGATTAAACTCCCTAATCAAAAGTAACAGTTTGGCAGAATGGATACCAACAGTACCCAGCAATATGCTGTCTACAAGAGACTCACCTTAAATCGAAGGACACACACACAGGTCAAAAGTAAAACTATGGAAAAGGACATTTCATGCAAATAGTAACCACAAGAGTTGGGGAAACTATGCCAATATTAGACAAAATAGATGTTAAGCCAAACACTGTTAAAAACAAAGAAATTATATTATGATAAAAGGATCAATTCATCAAGGAAATATAACAGTTACAAACATATATGCACCAAACATCAGAGCTCCTAAATATATGCAACAAAAAGGGAGAAACAGCTCTGCAATAATAGTAGGACATTTCAATACTCCACTGTGAATAATATAGAACCACAAGACAGAATATCAATAAGGAAATAAAGAACTCACACATGACAGACTAATTGCACCTAACAAACATAAACAAAACATGCAAAACAGCAGGCCACACATTTTTCTCAAGTTCACACAGAACATTTTCCAGGTTAGGCTAGTAAGTTAGGTCACAAAAAAGACTGAACTCATACAAAGTATCTTTTTTGATCACAATGGTATGAAACCAGAAACAAAAGCAGAAGGAAAATGGAAAATCTACAAGATACAGAAGTTAAACAACAGTCTAAAAAAAAAAAATCAATGGATCAAAGAGGAAATCAAAAGAATCAGAAAATTTTGTCAAAAGATTAAAAATATCTTGAGACAAATGAAAACACAACACACCAAAACCTATGGGGTGCTGCAAAACAGTGCTCAGAGGGAAACTGACAGCTGTAAATGTCTGCATTAAAAAAAGAAGAAAGATCTCAAATTATTAATAATAATCTTAAGGAACTAGAAAAAGACGAACAAATAAAGCCCAAAGCTAGTAGAAGGAAGGAAATAATATCAAGTAAAGCAGAGATAAAGAAAAGGAAAACAATAGAGAAAATAAAATCAGGAGTTATTTCTTTAAAAAGATCTATGAAATTGATAAATATATGACTCAACTGATAAAGAAAACTAAAATCAGAAGTAATGAAATTTTACTACTGATTTTACAGAAATAATAAGAATTATAAGAGAATACTATGACTAATTGCATGCCAACAAGCTGGATATCCTAGATGAAATGAACTAATTCCTAAAAACACACAACCTACCAAGACTGAATCATGAAGAAAGAGAAAATATAAACAGTCTTATAACCAATTATGAGACTGAATTAGTCATCAAAAATCTCTCAACAAAGAAATGCCCAGGACCAGATGGCTTCACTAAAGAATTCTACTAAACATTCATATAACCTCAATCTTCAAAAATCCTCAAGAAGGGAATTTCCTAATGGTCCAGTGATTAGGACTCTGAGTTCTCACTGCAAGGGCTAGGTTCAATCCCCAGTCAGGGAACTAAGATCCCACAAGTAGCACAGCACAGCCAAAAAAAAAAAAAATCCTCAACAAAATACTAACAAAATTCAATAGCACATTAAAAGGATCATACACCATGGCCAAGTCAGATTTATTCCTGAAATGCAAGAGTGGTTCAAAACATGAAAAATCAATATTAACACATTAACAGAATGAAGAGGTGGAAAAAACTACACAATCATCTAAATTAATGCAGAAAAAGCATTTGAAAAATTCAACATCTCTTCATGATTTAAAAGAATTCAAACTAGGAATAGAAAGAAATTGCCTCAACATAATAAATGCAAACTGTGAGAAGACCTCAGCTAATACAATGGTGAAAAGAAGGCTCTTCCTTTTCATCCAAGGTGCCCTGACCACTCTTGCTACTTCTATTCAATATATCCTAGCTAGGGCAATCAAGCAGGATAAAGAAACAAAAGGCATCCAAATTGAAAAGGAAGAAGTAAAACCGACTCTGTTTGCAGATGACATCTTATTATGTACAAAATGACAAAAGTTTCATGCACACACACACACACCCACACAAAATGTTAGAACAAATTCAGCAAAAGGTAGAGAATACAAAAAAAAAAATGAAAATCAGTTGCATTTCTATACATTAACAACCTGAACACAAAGCAAGCAATTCCATTTATAATACCATCAAATAGAATACTTAGGAGTAAACATAACCAAAGAGGAAAATGACTTGTTCACTAAAAAATACAAAACACTGCCAAAAGAAGTTGAAAATGACACAACTAAATGAGAATAAATTTCAGGTTCAAGGATCAGAAGAGTTAATATTGAATATTAAGATATTGATACTACCCAAAGGTATCTAAGTGGAGAAGGAAATGGCAACCCACTCCAGTGCTCTTGCTTAGAGAATCCCATGGACAGAGGAACCTGGTGGGCTGTCCATGGGGTCGCACAGAGTTGGACACGACTGAAGTGACTTAGCATGCATGCAAAGGCATCTAAGATTCAATGCAATCCCTATCAAAATCCAAATGACATTTCTGGTATAAATGGAATAATCCATCTTGAAATTTACATGCAATCTCAAAGGATGTTGAATAACAAAAACAGTCTTGAAAAAGAAGATATAAGCTGGAGGTCCCACATATCCTGACTTCAAAGCTTAATATAAAACTATAGTAGTCAGAA